CAAGGCCATGGGGGCACGTGTAGGTCGCAACCTTTGCACCTCGCTCCGCAAGGAGAGTTTGTTGGCGGCACATGTCTTGCTTTGCTGCGTGGCTCTGGGCCCAGCAGGACAGGAGACCTTGTCAGCGTCTCGAAGATGAAGGTTCTGGCATGAGCTTGACGCCTCAAAGCTTGCCCCAGAGCCGTCGCGCCTGGCAGGGAGCCCCAACACGACCTGTTCCGATCTCAGAAACATCTGAAGGCTTGGCGACTTTTGGAACTGGAAGGCGTGTGTTTGAAGGTCGCGAGGCCTCCCGTGGAGGTCAAGAACAGGCCGTGTTGGGGATTTCCCTTGTGCCTTTTGCAGATCTGCATAGCTCTGGACAGAAGGGTTGTCGTTCACCTGGTGCACTGGTGCGGGAAGGCCTTCGAACGGCTTCCGGCATTCAAGAAGGGGAATGCCGGCTGCTCGCAGCGACTCTTGTCTGCCAGAGACCGATGATGACATGTGCCCAGCGAGGTAAATTCGCCGCAGCGAATCCGTGAAGCCGACTTCGAGCACGTCCCTAAGCCCTGAGTGCCACTGGCCGTCCCGAAAGACCTTCTTCTGCTGCGAGGTTCTTGCAGTGCATTGGGAAAGGCCCGGAGCGGGGGAGGGAGCCAGGACGCGTTTTCCCTGCGGGCCTTTCTGTTCCGAGGAACCTTCGGTCGAGTCTATTTGGTGCGGAAGAGGGATGACACTTCCCAAAGGCGCACGCGACGCGTGGGCGAGCCGAGCGGTCGCCGAGCGGTCGCCGAGCGCAGGCTCTTGGCCATGAAGGTGCTGCGCAAGTCCCGAATTGGGGACTCCAGGCTTCCCCGACTCCGCGACACTCCCTGCCCCCCCTTCGCCCCCCCCGGAACAGGCGCCGTGCGGAGTATATCATCACCGAGCGCAAGGTGTTGAGAAGCGTCCCCCTGGCCTGGTGACTGCATGGGACGTGGTGCATTCGGTGGGCAGTGCCCCTGCAGAGGCCAATCATCCCTTCGTGGCGAGGCTAAGGCATGCTGAGCATTCTGCATGCATGAAAAAGCGTCGAGGAGAAGCTGTGTCGCAGACGGATCAGGTATGCTTTTCAGTCAGCATCGTGGCTTTACCTCCTGACAGATTTTTTTGGCCGCTAGATTGCACCAGGTTGCTCCCCGTGTTACCTTTCTGCCACTTCATATAAGAGGTGTTTCCTGAGAGCTCCTCCGGGAGTAGGCTGCACCGGGGCGGGAAGAGAGCCGGGACTTGGGCGTCTTTTGCGCAGCCAAGGGGCTAGGTAGTTTTAGTTAGCTTTAGTTCGTGTCATCACACTTCTGTCTTGGCTTTGTCTCGGTCCAGATCAAGGAGTTCTCATTCTGTCTCATGATGGGACTGGTCGTGAACTGTGATGTGTTCACGGAACGCAATCTGTGATTGATCATCCTCTCATAGTTGGATGTGGCCATGAAAAAAAATATATATATATATAGACAAGCATCGCCTCAGGCCGCTGTCAGGGCTTGCTTGGAGCCCAATGCCACAAGCACCGTCATGTCCAATGTGCTAGATGGCGCACCTCCCGGAGAAAAGGAGGACTATACTACTGTGAAGAAGAGTGTCCAAATGTCCCCCTTCCGACTCAATGCAGCTTGCCAGGGGGATTTCCAGAGTTTTATAGTCTGAGCCGAGGCGGAGGCGAGCTCCTCGAGCACATTCGCCGCTCAGGGCGTTTTAGCGAAGCTCAAGCTCGATTCTTTGTGGCTGAGGCCAGGCCAGCTAAAGATTGGGGGAGGCTCTCTCTCTCTCTCTCTCTCTCTCTCTCTCTCTCTCTGTCTGTCTCTCTCTCCCTCCTTGTCAGACTAATAGCAACCCTTCGGTCCTTCTCCTTTCGGCTCCGAGGTGGCCTTGGGCTTGGAGTATCTTCACGACCGGGGAATCTGCCACCGAGACCTGAAGCCAAGACCTGAGACGCGCCGTGTAACCGGTCCCTCCTTCGCCGCGGGGGAATATGTCGATGTCGCCCACCACGCATCGCCCCGTGGCGCGTGCGCACAACATAGAAGGAACCGCGGTGGGCGCGAGCGTGCGGGCCCTTGCAGCGTGCGCCGCCGTGCGCCCTGCGCGCGAGGCCTGAGAACGTGCTGTTGGACCTCGAGGGCCACGTCAGGACTGACCCCTGGACTCTCCTTTCCGGCGCTCCGAGCTTGAGCATGTGCAGCATGAGCATGGCTCCAGGCTGACGGACTTCGGGCTGGCGAAGATGGGATTAAGTCTGCCCCTCGGAGATCGGCTTCTTGAGCCCGTGTTGTCCCTCTAACGCAGCAGGAACGGCATTGACGTCAACGATGTGTGGCACGCCAGAGTACCTGCCACCAGAGGCGAGGGGGCAGAACTGGCTTCTGACAAAGGGCCCGTCGCGTTGTGTCGAGGTCTTTCGAAGGCAGTCCTATGCCTGCGAGTTGGACTGGTCGGGGCCCTGGGGCCACTGAGCCACAGGTGCTCCTTGAGTCCGTCTTTTGGAGGTGGTCCTTTGGTGTGCTGATCTTCGAAATGTTGGAGGGGCGACCTCCATTCCGAGATCCCAACGAGAGCAGGCGCGCGGGATGTGCAAAGTGACGGAACGCCAAGAGAACGTGGGGCCTTTTCGGAGCTTCGTTCGAAGAGGCTGTTCCAAATGATCATGGACGGACACTTCCGCTTCGAGCATGCCCGGAGCCGAGCCTTCTGGGCTCTGCCAGTGCCGTGCCGCTCCGCTCCGCTCCGCTTTTGCTGCCGTTCCGAGGTCCACTCCACGGAGGCGACGTCGCTCGTTCGGCAGCTCTTGACCCCTGACCTGGCCACGAGACTCAAGTCGGCGGCCAGCGTCAAGGAGCGACCCTACCGCCACCAACACACCGGCAACTGTTGGCGTCACTTCTGAAAACATGCTTTTGGCAGGCGAGTCCATGGCTTACCAGCATCGACTGGGAATCGGCTCTGAACCTGGGGCTACAACCTCCTTTCAGGCCCTGTCCTGCGCAAGGGCAAAAACCAAAGGGCAGTAGAAAGAGGGTATTGCTTCTCGACTTCAGGCCCTCAGCCAGCATGAGATGCTGCTCACCTAGACTGAGGCAGCCGGGTGCGATCAGCTGTAGACGCTTCAGGGAAAGATACTGCCAGGCCATCATCCCCCGACGTGACATCTCTTGGTTTTCACATTCAGGGCTTTACGCCGGCGGCTCAGTGTCACTGAGAGGCATAAATCGTGCTTCCTTGCCCCTTGCACACTGCCTTGCTGTGTGGTAGGTACGTGCCAGAGACAAGAGGTCCCATGGTGGTGGAGAAAGCTCTTCGCAAAGCTACAGCGTAGACGAACTGTGGGTTGCTTGAACCTGCTTCGATTCAAGAAAAAGTCAAGTGCATTTCCGGGCGCGAGACACGTTCTGGCCCGGGCAAACGAGAGCCGTCTTAAGCCCCAAGCAGTCGTCAGACTCCAGTCTTCCTGGTCCTATATCTCCCTCGTATATGCAGCAGTTTCAGACGCGACTGCTTGGGCTCAGGGCTAGATCCGCAGATGGGCACAGCTCCCTCTCCGGATATGCTTCTCTACGAAGCCGAGGTTTGCAAGGTTTTTTCATTCTGGCAGACGGCCAGTCGCATTAATTGGAGTGGCCACAGTGGCCCAAGTTCAAGGGGCATGTCAAGGTGCACCTCGCACTCGCTTTCCAAGCGTTTTATATGCCCTCCAGCAGGTTGCAAGAAGCAGCCTGCGCTCCTCTCATCTCCCTCCCTGGCTGGGGGAGCCTGTACAGACTCGGTGGACAGTTTCACAAGGGGCGGCTTCCCTCGCAGCACAGAGTGACACTCTGTAGCCCCCGTTGGGATTTTGCCAGAGGCCAGAGTCGCTGACGAAGGAGTTTGCTCGGTGCCGGCAAAAGAGTTCAAATTGCTTGCCGAGGACACTTCGACAAGTTCGACGTAAAAAAAACGCATCCTCAGACCTGAAAGCGAGCGAATGCAAATGGCCAACGCGATGGCGGTGAAGCTGCCTAAGCGTGACGTTTACAAGCTACTATAGATGCCCCATGAAGGGCTTGGTGCGCTTGGCTCAACATATGCCTCGGGTTCGGATGTTGGAGCTGTTGCTGCACATTGACAGAGCCACGAGGAAGCCAGTGCTTCAACTCCAGGCATCGGATCCACTGAGTCTAGCAGCCTCAGCCTCTAGGCATGATTTAAGGGCTAGAGCGGCGGCGAGAGCCCAGTCTCGAGAGCCCAGTCTCTGTGCAGCTTGGCGATGCCGGCGCCTCGTGGGGGCTCGGCCTTGGGCCTTCCGGGCTGTGCATGGCTCCGCCTTCGGAAAAATCCACTGAGGTCCGAGTCCAATCCGCAGGAGCTCGGGCCAAGCGGCGGACCCAGCGCCTTCCGGGAGCTGCGTCCTGTCTTCTCCCAGACGCAGCCCTCCCACCAGGAGCGGGCTATCCAGCGCAAGGTCCGGCCCTCCACAGAGCGCGCCAAGCCTCCTTCTACAACTCCTGTCCCAAAGGTCCACCTCTCGCGCCAATGAGTGCTAGGCCCTCCTGCTCCACTGTCTATCTGGGCAAACCGGCATGCAGCGCATGTCCACACGTGCAGACTCGTGGAACAGGCTGGTCAATACAGCGGCATGTTCACGCCTAAGTTCGCGGTCTACCGTCCCACCAAAACCCTAGCACCATTCTTACCAACATATCCTATACCCCCGACATCCAAAAACCCTAGCACCATTCTTACCAACATACCCTAACACCATCCTTACCATATACCCTAACACCATCCTTACCATATACCCTAACACCATCCTCACCATATACCCTAACACCATTCTTACCAATTATCCTAACCCCCAACATATCCAAAAGCCCCAACCAACAAACCCTAACCCATTCTTACCCAATTATCCTATACTCAAAACATCCAAAAGCAACCTACCAAACCAATACAATCATCCAGAACACAACCCAAAACCCAAAGCACCTAAACAATACTTAACCTTATCCATTCTATAACCAATATCCTAACATGAGGTGTGGGGTAAGACCCTAATAGAAAAACCCAAAGCCCATAACCGAAATGATGAAACCCCCAAAGTTGTGACGTTTCGCGAGTCTGCTGACGCAGCGACCTTACCAAAATACGTAACCCAAAACCACCACAATCCCTAACCCTAACCTCATGCATTTTACAGCTTAGAAGGCCACCAAGAAGGACACGAAAGACTCACGAGTTATTCACGACCCCTAGATAGCAGCTGGCGTTTAATTTCTCAAGTTGAGCACTTTGGAGATCAACCAGCCCAGCTTGTGTTTGGCACCCGCGACTTCACCGGTCGCAGTGCGCCTTGCGCGATTAGCTTGCATTTGGTGCTGCAGCTTGTTGAATTCATGGTTGAATGGTTTGCTGTCGAAAGCCACATGACGCCGCTGTCATGCTTCGCAGTCACCGTTGCTGAAGCTGAGGGTCGCTTAAAGAGAGAGCGAGAACAGTCCTGCATGAGACGCCATGGACATGCATGGTGCCTCATCGCCCTCTTCCTGGTGCTCAGCCAGCCGAGCGCCTTCACGGGTGAAACCACGAGAGGCGCGACCCCAAAATCAATACAAGCATTTGTTTGCCAACTGCTGCTGCTCGTTTGCGCTGTAGAGAATCGTCAAGTCTTGCTCAGGTTGGCACATGGAGAGAAAGCTCCTAGCCCAACGCCACGTAGAGATCGACCCAGTCATGGAGAAAATTGTGCTTACTTTTGCGGGCTCTGCCGTCACAGGGGCAGGTGTATCCTGGTACAAGGACCAGCAATCACAGCAAGAAAAGATCACCCACCTCACGATAGCCGTGGAAGGGCTGCACGCTGCAATGAAGCTGCAAGCAGAGCGGACGGATTTGCTGCAGAAGAGTCTCGAAAATCTCAAGGAAGAAGGCAAGAAGAGGCTCGACGGGCAAGACAAGAAGCTCGACGGGCAAGACAAGAAGCTCGACGATCAAGGCAAGCAGCTCGACGATCAAGGCAAGCAGCTCGACCAGATCCTCAACATGCTCAAAGAGAAGCGAGGCCGTTTCTTCCGCTGATGAGACAACGAAGATCCACCTGTGACCTGCTGACGAGCCATCAACCAATCCCAGTTGTGCTCAAAAGTAGGTTGCTTCACGTGTGTCAGCAGAGCATTCGCAGATGCAGAAACCGATGCCGCTGATAGAAAACTGAGCCGGACGACATGCCACCGCTGATCACATCAATGAACACGCGTTCTGCACCCAGAGAAGCGAAGCAACGAAGCACATACATGCATCGCGACAGGTACGGCTCGTCGTCGGCGATTTCCAGATGCCTCACCCCTGTTTGGATTCGGGAACGTCGCGGCTTCAGGTTCGCCCTTGGATTTGTATTATTTTGGTTTAGGGCTTAGGTCTTATGGCTTTAGTTTCGGGTTCGGGGTTTTAGTTGTGGTTGTTAGTTTCGGTCTTCTGCGAACAACCGTCCCATAGCTGGGAGCGGACAAGAAATCCGACTGTTTAAAGCAGTCAAAGCATTGCGATGGCATCAGAAGTGTGCGTGTTAGGGCTTTTAATTTCGGGTTAGGTTGTCTAGTTTCGGGTTGCTCGGGTTTTCGTTGTGGTTGTGTCGTGCTTCCCTAATGGCTCAAACCGCGCGTGAGAAAAAACCCTAGAACCCCCCTAGGGTTTTGCGGTTCCCTATTCCCCCGAAGCCATTTTATCTCAAAACCGGCTCAAAAAACATAAAATCCAAGATACAGCATCCGGTGTAGTAAAAAACGATGTTTTCAGCACCAAATCCGATACAAATCTGCAAAAAATCAAACCTACACCAAAACATATAGCAAAACATAGACCAAAACAACCAAAAGAAAAAATCAACAACAATCATGAAAAATCGTCATAACCAATTTTTTTCAACTTCTCACCGCCATGTCCAAAATAGTTTTTATAGTTATTACTATAAAAATTATTTCTATTCCTCAACCTTATTCGCCTTAATCACAGCCATATTCTGCATACTATATTTTTGGTTAGGAAGCATTTTAACTTGCCCTCCCTTCGCTTCCTTAATCCTTTGCTTACTTAACCTTTTCCTTTCTCTTAATGCCGTTGCATAATCGGGGTCCTGCATTCTCAGCTTATAATATAACCTCTGATACAACGCCATTTGCTCCCTAACTTCGTCCAGTGTCAAATCCTCAGGTTTTTTCATACCAGTCATTTTATGCTTACTATATATAGCTATTTTGTCTTTAAGGCATTTTACAAAGACCAACAGCACCAAAATCAAAACAGGAGACTAAGGAGAAACCAGTTAAAGAAATAATAACTATATATTTTAATCTAAGCTATCATATGACTAGAAAGGCTATTCGTGACAACATCAAACACCTAAATAATAAGAGACAGCGATTAATAGAAACAAAAGCACCTAAGAAC